CTGGATGTGACATCATTTATCTGTTCTACCCGGGTACTGAAAATGACATCATTTATCTGCTCTAACCAGGTACTGGAAGTGACATCGTTTATCTGTTCTACCCGGGTACTATATCTAACATCATTTATCTGTTCTACCCAGATACTTGATCTTACATCATTTATCTGCTCTACCTGGGTACTGGATCGAACATCATTTATCTGCTCTAACCAGGTACAGGAAGTGAGATTATTTATCTGTTCTACCCGGATACTGGATCTGACATCATTTTTCTGTTCTACCCGGGTACTGGATCTGACATCATTTATCTGCTCTAACTGGGTACTGGATCTGACATCATTTATCTGTTCTCCCCGGGTACTGGATGTGATATCATTTATCTGTTCTACCTGGGTACTGGAAGTGACATCATTTATCTGCTCTACCCGGGTACTGGATCTGACATCATTTATCTGCTCTAACCGGGTACTGGATCTGACATCATTTATCTGCTCTAACCCTGTACTGGAAATGACATCATTTATCTGTTCTAGCCGTGTACTTGAAGTGACATCATTTATCTGTTCTACCCGGGTACTCGATCTGACATCATTTATCTGTTCTACCCGGGTCCTGGATGTGACATTATTTATCTGTTCTACCTGGGCACTGGATCTGACATCATTTATCTGTTCTACCCGGGTACTGGATCTGACATCGTTTATCTGTTCTACCCGGGTACTGTATCTGAGATCAATTATCTGTTCTACCCTTGTACTGGAAGTGACATCATTTATCTGCTCTAACCGCGTACTGGAAGTGACATCATTTATCTGCTCCAACCGCCTACTGGAAGTTACATCATTTATCTGCTCTACCCGGGTACTGGATTTAACATCATTTATCTGCTCTAACCAGGTACTGGAAGTGACATCTTTTATCTGTTCTCCCTGGGTACTGGAAATGACATCGTTTATCTGTTCTAACTGGGTACTGGATCTGACATCATTTATCTGTTCTACCCGTGTACTGGATCTGACATCATTTATCTGCTCTAACCTAGGTACTGGTAGTGACATCGTTTATCTGCTCTACCCGGGCACTGGATCTAACTTTAATTAACTGTTCTACCCAGGTACTGGAAGTGACATCATTTATCTGTTCTACCCGGGTACTGGATCTGACATCATTTATCTGGTCTACCCGGGTACTGTATCTGAGATCATTTATCTGTTGTACCCGGGTACTGGAAGTGACATCATTTATCTGCTCTAACCGCATACTGGAAGTTACATCATTTATCTGCTCTACCCGGGTACTGTATCTAACATCATTTATCTGTTCTAGCCGGGTACTTGAAGTGACTTCATTTATCTGTTCTACCTGGGTACTGGATCTGACATCATTTATCTGTTCTACCCGGGTACTGGATATGACATCATTTATCTGTTCTACCCGGGTACTGTATCTGAGATCAATTATCTGTTCTACCCTTGTACTGGAAGTGACATCATTTATCTGCTCTAACCGCGTACTGGAAGCTACATCATTTATCTGTTCTTCCCGGGTACTGGATCTGACATCATTTATCTGTTCTACCCGGGTACTCGATCTGACATCATTTATCTGTTCTACCCGGGTACTGGATATGACATCATTTATCTGTTCTACCCGGGTACTGTATCTGAGATCAATTATCTGTTCTACCCTTGTACTGGAAGTGACATCATTTATCTGCTCTAACCGCGTACTGGAAGCTACATCATTTATCTGTTCTTCCCGGGTACGGGATCTGACATCATTTATCTGTTCTACCCGGGTACTGGATGTGACATCATTTATCTGTTCTACCTGGGTACTGGATCTGACATCATTTATCTATTCTACCTGGGTACTGGATCTGACATCATTTATCTGCTCTAACGGGGTACTGGATCTGACATCATTTATCTGCTCTAACCGTGTACTGGAAATGACATCATTTATCTGTTCTACCCGGGTACTGTATCTAACATCATTTATCTCTTCTAGCCGGGTACTTGAAGTGACATCATTTATCTGTTCTACCCGGGTACTCGATCTGACATCATTTATCTGTTCTACCCGGGTACTGGATCTGACATCATTTATCTGTTCTACCCGGGTCCTGGATGTGACATCATTTATCTGTTCTACCCGGGTACTGGATCTGACATCATTTATCTGTTCTACCCTTGTACTGGATCTGACATCATTTATCTGCTCTAACCGGACACTGGATCTGACATCATTTATCTGTTCTACCCGGGTACTGGATCTGACATCATTTATCTGCTCTAATCGGGTACTGGATCTGACATCATTTATCTGCTCTAAACGTGTACTGGAAATGGCATGTTTATCTGTTCTACCCGGGTACTGTATGTAACATCTTTTATCTGTTCTACCCGGGTACTGTATCTGAGATCATTTATCTATTCTACCCGGGTACTGGAAGTGACATCATTTATCTGCTCTAACCGCATACTGGAAGTTACATGATTTATCTGTTCTACCCGGGTACTGGATCTGACATCATTTATCTGTTCTAGCCGGTTACTTGAAGTGACATCATTTATCTGTTCTACCCGGGTACTGGATCTGACATCATTTATCTGTTCTACCTGGGTACTGGATCTGAGATCATTTATCTGTTCTACCCTGGTACTGGAAGTGACATCATTTATCTGCTCTAACCTCGTACTAGAAGTGACATCATTTATCTGCTCTCTAACCGCGTACTGGAAGTTACATCATTTATCTGTTCTTCCCGGGTACTGGATCTGACATCATTTATCTGTTCTACCCGGATACTGGATGTGACATCATTTATCTGTTCTAGCCGGTTACTTGAAGTGACATCATTTATCTGTTCTACCCGGGTACTGGATCTAACATCATTTGTCTGCACTAACCGGGTACTGGATCTGACATCATTTATCTGTTCTACCCGCATACTGGATCTGACATCATTTATCTGTTCTACCCGCGTACTGGAAGTTACATCATTTATCTGTTCTTCCCGGGTACTGGATCTGACATCATTTATCTGTTCTACCCGGGTACTGGATTGGACATCATTTATCTGTTCTACCCGGGTACTGGATCTGACATCATTTATCTGCTCTACCCGAGTACTGGATCTGACATCATTTATCTGCTCTAACCGCGTACTGGATCTGAGATCATTTATCTGTTCTACGCGGGTACTGTATCTAACATCATTCATCTGTTCTACCCGGGTACTTGAAGTGACATCATTTATCTGTTCTACCCGGGTACTCGATCTGACATCATTTATCTGTTCTACCCGGGTACTGGATCTGACATCATTTATCTGTTCTACCCGGGTCCTGGATGTGACATCATTTATCTGTTCTACCTGGGTACTGGATCTGACATCATTTATCTGTTCTACCTGTGTACTGGATCTGACATCATTTATCTGCTCTAACGGGGTACTGGATCTGACATCATTTATCTGCTCTAACCGGGTACTGGAAATGACATCATTTATCTGTTCTACCTGGGTACTGTATCTAACATCATTTATCTCTTCTAGCCGGGTACTTGAAGTGACATCATTTATCTGTTCTACCCGGGTACTCGATCTGACATCATTTATCTGTTCTACCCGGGTACTGGATCTGATATCATTGATCTGTTCTACCCGGGTACTGGATCTGACATCGTTTATCTGTTCTACCCGGGTACTGTATCTGAGATGAATTATCTGTTCTACCCTTGTACTGGAAGTGACATCATTTATCTGCTCCAACCGCGTACTGGAAGTGACATCATTTATCTGTTCTACCCAGGTACTGGATTTAACATCATTTATCTGCTCTAACCAGGTACTGGAAGTGACATCTTTTATCTGTTCTCCCCGGGTACTGGAAATGACATCATTTATCTGTTCTTCCCGGGTACTGTATCTAACATCATTTATCTCTTCTAGCCGGGTACTTGAAGTGACATCATTTATCTGTTCTACCCGGGTACTCGATCTGACATCATTTATCTGTTCTACCCGGGTACTGGATCTGACATCATTTATCTGTTCTCCCCGGGTACTTGATCTGACATCATTTATCTCTTCTACATGGGTACTGGAAGTGACATAATTTATCTGTTCTACCCCGATACTGGATCTGACATCATTTATCTGTTCTAGCCGGGTACTTGAAGTGACTTCATTTATCTGTTCTACCTGGGTACTGGATCTGACATCATTTATCTGTTCTACCCGGGTACTGGATCTGACATCATTTATCTGTTCTACCCGGGTCCTGGATGTGACATCATTTATCTGTTCTACCCGGGTACTGGATCTGACATCATTTATCTGCTCTAACCTAGGTACTGGTAGTGACATCGTTTATCTGCTCTACCCGGGCACTGGATCTAACTTTAATTAACTGTTCTACCCAGGTACTGGAAGTGACATCATTTATCTGTTCTACCCGGGTACTGGATCTGACATCATTTATCTGGTCTACATGGGTACTGTATCTGAGATCATTTATCTGTTGTACCCGGGTACTGGAAGTGACATCATTTATCTGATCTAACCGCATACTGGAAGTTACATCATTTATCTGCTCTACCCGGGTACTGTATCTAACATCATTTATCTGTTCTAGCCGGGTACTTGAAGTGACTTCATTTATCTGTTCTACCTGGGTACTGGATCTGACATCATTTATCTGTTCTACCCGGGTACTGGATATGACATCATTTATCTGTTCTACACGGGTACTGTATCTGAGATCAATTATCTGTTCTACCCTTGTACTGGAAGTGACATCATTTATCTGCTCTAACCGCGTACTGGAAGCTACATCATTTATCTGTTCTTCCCGGGTACTGGATCTGACATCATTTATCTGTTCTACCCGGGTACTGGATCTGACATCATTTTTCTGTTCTACCCGGGTACTGGATATGACATCATTTATCTGTTCTACCCGGGTACTGTTTCTGAGATCAATTATCTGTTCTACCCTTGTACTGGAAGTGACATCATTTATCTGCTCTAACCGCGTACTGGAAGCTACATCATTTATCTGTTCTTCCCGGGTACTGGATCTGACATCATTTATCTGTTCTACCCGGGTACTGGATGTGACATCATTTATCTGTTCTACCTGGGTACTGGATCTGACATCATTTATCTGCTCTACCCGGGTACTGGATCTGACATCATTTATCTGCTCTAACGGGGTACTGGATCTGACATCATTTATCTGCTCTAACCGTGTACTGGATCTGACATCATTTATCTGTTCTACCGGGGTACTGGATCTGACATCATTTATCTGCTCTAATCGGGTACTGGATCTGACATCATTTATCTGCTCTAAACGTGTACTGGAAATGACATCATTTATCTGTTCTACCCGGGTACCGTATCTAACATCTTTTATCTGTTCTACCCGGGTACTGTATCTGAGATCATTTATCTATTCTACCCGGGTACTGGAAGTGACATCATTTATCTGCTCTAACCGCATACTGGAAGTTACATGATTAATCTGTTCTACCCGGGTACTGGATCTGACATCATTTATCTGTTCTAGCCGGTTACTTGAAGTGACATCATTTATCTGTTCTACCCGGGTACTGGATCTGACATCATTTATCTGTTCTACCTGGGTACTGGATCTGAGATCATTTATCTGTTCTACCCTGGTACTGGAAGTGACATCATTTATCTGCTCTAACCGTGTACTGGAAGTGACATCATTTATCTGCTCTAACCTCGTACTGGAAGTGACATCATTTATCTGCTCTCTAACTGCGTACTGGAAGTTACATCATTTATCTGTTCTTCCCGGGTACTGGATCTGACATCATTTATCTGTTCTACCCGGATACTGGATGTGACATCATTTATCCGTTCTACCCGGATACTGGATGTGACATCATTTATCTGTTCTAGCCGGTTACTTGAAGTGACATCATTTATCTGTTCTACCCGGGTACTGGATCTAACATCATTTGTCTGCACTAACCGGGTACTGGATCTGACATCATTTATCTGTTCTACCCGGGTACTGGATCTGACATCATTTATCTGTTCTACCCGGGTACTGGATGGGACATCATTTATCTGTTCTACCCGGGTACTGGATCTGACATCATTTATCTGCTCTACCCGAGTACTGGATCTGACATCATTTATCTGCTCTAACCGCGTACTGGATCTGAGATCATTTATCTGTTCTACGCGGGTACTGTATCTAACATCATTCATCTGTTCTACCCGGGTACTTGAAGTGACATCATTTACCTGTTCTACCCGGGTACTCGATCTGACATCATTTATCTGTTCTACCCGGGTACTGGATCTGACATCATTTATCTGTTCTACCTGGGTACTGGGTCTTACGTCATTTATCTGTTCTACCCGTGTACTGGATCTGACATCATTTATCTGCTCTAACCGTGTACTGGATCTGACATCATTTATCTGCTCTAACCGGGTACTGGATCTGACATCATTTATCTGCTCTACCCGGGTACTGTATCTAAGATTATTTATCTATTCTACCCGGGTACTGGAAGTGACATCATTTATCTGCTCTCACCGCATACTGGAAGTTACATGATTTATCTGTTCTACCCGGGTACTGGATCTGACATCATTTATCTGTTCTAGCCGGTTACTTGAAGTGACATCATTTATCTGTTCTCCCCGGGTCCTGGATGTGACATCATTTATCTGTTCTACCCGTGTAATGGATCTGACATCATTTATCTGCTCTAACCTAGGTACTGGAAGTGACATCGTTTATCTGCTGTACCCGGGCACTGGATCTAACTTTAATCAACTGTTCTACCCACGTACTGGAAGTGACATCATTTATCTGTTCTACCCGGGTACTGGATCTGACATCATGTATCTGGTCTACCCGGGTGCTGTATCTGAGATCATTTATCTGTTGTACCCAGGTACTGGAAGTGACATCATTTATCTGCTCTAACCGCATACTGGAAGTGACATCATTTATCTCCTCTACCCGGGTACTGTATCTAACATCATTTATCTGTTCTAGCCGGGTACTTGAAGTGACTTCATTTATCTGTTCTACCTGGGTACTGGATCTGACATCATTTATCTGTTCTACCTGGGTACTGGATCTGACATCATTTATCTGTTCTACCCGGGTCCTGGATGTGACATCATTTATCTGTTCTACCTGGGTACTGGATCTGACATCATTTATCTGTTCTACCCGGGTACTGGATCTGACATTGTTTATCTGTTCTACCCGGGTACTGTATCTGAGATCAATTATCCGTTCTACCCTTGTACTTGAAGTGACATCATTTATCTGCTCTACCCAGGTACTGGAAGTGACATCATTTATCTGCTCCAACCGCGTACTGGAAGTTACATCATTTATCTGTTCTACCCGGGTACTGGATCTGACATGATTTATGTGTTCTACCCGGATACTGGATGGGACATCATTTATCTGTTCTACCCGGGTACTGTATCTGACATCATTTATCTGCTCTAAATGGGTACTGGATCTGACATCATTTATCTGCTCTAACAGGGTACTGGAAATGACATCATTTATCTGTTCTACCCGGGTACTGTATCTGACATCATTTATCTATTCTACCCGGGTACTTGATCTGACATCATTTATCTCTTCTACATGGGTACTGGAAGTGACATCTTTTATCTGTTCTACCCGGGTACTGGATCTGACATCATTTATCTGTTCTACATTGATACTGGAAGTGACATCTTTTATCTGTTCTACATGGGTGCTGGAAATGACATCATTTATCTCCTCTAACCGCATACTGGAAATGACATCATTTATCTCTTCTACCCGGGTACTTGATCTGACATCATTTGTCTGTTCTACCCGGGTACTGGATTTAACATCATTTATCTGCTCTAACCAGGTACTGGAAGTGACATCTTTTATCTGTTCTAACCGGGTACTGGATCTGACATCATTTATCTGTTCTACATTGATACTGGAAGTGACATCTTTTATCTGTTCTACATGGGTGCTGGAAATGACATCATTTATCTGCTCTAACCGCGTCCTGGAAATGACATCATTTATCTGTTCTACCCGGGTACTCTTTCTAACATCATTTATCTCTTCTACCCGGGTACTTGATCTGACATCATTTGTCTGTTCTACCCGGGTACTGGATTTAACATTATTTATCTGCTCTAACCAGGTACTGGAAGTGACATCTTTTATCTGTTCTCCCTGGGTACTGGAAATGACATCATTTATCTGTTCTAACCGGGTACTGGATCTGACATCATTTATCTGTTCTACCCGTGTACTGGATCTGACATCATTTATCTGCTCTAACCTAGGTACTGGTAGTGACATCGTTTATCTGCTCTACCCGGGCACTGGATCTAACTTTAATTAACTGTTCTACCCAGGTACTGGAAGTGACATCATTTATCTGTTCTACCCGGGTACTGTATCTGAGATCATTTATCTGTTGTACCCGGGTACTGGAAGTGACATCATTTATCTGCTCTAACTGCATACTGGAAGTTACATCATTTATCTGCTCTACCCGGGTACTGTATCTAACATCATTTATCTGTTCTAGCCGGGTACTTGAAGTGACTTCATTTATCTGTTCTACCTGGGTACTGGATCTGACATCATTTATCTGCTCTAACCGGGTACTGGATCTGACATCATTTATCTGTTCTACCCGGGTCCTGGATGTGACATCATTTATCTGTTCTACCCGGGTAATGGATCTGACATCATTTATCTGTTCTACCCGGGTACTGGATATGACATCATTTATCTGTTCTACCCGGGTACTGTATCTGAGATCGATTATCTGTTCTACCCTTGTACTGGAAGTGACATCATTTATCTGCTCTAACCGCGTACTGGAAGCTACATCATTTATCTGTTCTTCCCGGGTACTGGATCTGACATCATTTATCTGTTCTACCCGGGTACTGGATGTAACATCATTTATCTGTTCTACCTGGGTACTGGATCTGACATCATTTATCTGCTCTACCCGGGTACTGGATCTGACATCATTTATCTGCTCTAACGGGGTACTGGATCTGACATCATTTATCTGCTCTAACCGTGTACTGGATCTGACATCATTTATCTGTTCTACCGGGGTACTGGATCTGACATCATTTATCTGCTCTAATCGGGTACTGGATCTGACATCATTTATCTGCTCTAAACGTGTACTGGAAATGACATCATTTATCTGTTCTACCCGGGTACCGTATCTAACATCTTTTATCTGTTCTACCCGGGTACTGTATCTGAGATCATTTATCTATTCTACCCGGGTACTGGAAGTGACATCATTTATCTGCTCTAACCGCATACTGGAAGTTACATGATTAATCTGTTCTACCCGGGTACTGGATCTGACATCATTTATCTGTTCTAGCCGGTTACTTGAAGTGACATCATTGATCTGTTCTACCTGGGTACTGGATCTGAGATCATTTATCTGTTCTACCCTGGTACTGGAAGTGACATCATTTATCTGCTCTAACCGTGTACTGGAAGTGACATCATTTATCTGCTCTAACCTCGTACTGGAAGTGACATCATTTATCTGCTCTCTAACTGCGTACTGGAAGTTACATCATTTATCTGTTCTTCCCGGGTACTGGATCTGACATCATTTATCTGTTCTACCCGGATACTGGATGTGACATCATTTATCCGTTCTACCCGGATACTGGATGTGACATCATTTATCTGTTCTAGCCGGTTACTTGAAGTGACATCATTTATCTGTTCTACCCGGGTACTGGATCTAACATCATTTGTCTGCACTAACCGGGTACTGGATCTGACATCATTTATCTGTTCTACCCGGGTACTGGATCTGACATCATTTATCTGTTCTACCCAGGTACTGGATGGGACATCATTTATCTGTTCTACCCGGGTACTGGATCTGACATCATTTATCTGCTCTACCCGAGTACTGGATCTGACATCATTTATCTGCTCTAACCGCGTACTGGATCTGAGATCATTTATCTGTTCTACGCGGGTACTGTATCTAA